AAAGAGACTATGAGAAAGGAGAAGGGGTGGGTTGTGAGATATCTCAAGTGTCATTGACAAAGTTGTTATTTCATTGTCTAATTGAAAGATTTTGTAAGTTCAACAGAGCCAGAAGAGATGTTTGGTTTGAGTAACTGCATGGAAGAGGAAGTAGCTACCCATTTCCTTTTGAACTGAGTTGAATTTGAAGTGCTATAGACTGTCTGCAAGGTAAATGGAAACTGGGTCTAAAGTTCAGTGATGTCTCACTGCAGTCTTCATTTCCTAAATTGGACACTTTTTATTAGAAAAGGAATTGTTTTCATCATAAATACTTTGACAACCCATGTGTTGACTAGCTTTATGTCCACCTCACACAAGCTAGACTCATTGCAGAGGGAGCCTCACTTGAGAAAATGCTTCCGTAAGATGTAGGCAAGCTGTGGAACATTTTCTTAAGTAGTTACTGATGTGGAAGTGTCCAGTTCATTGTGGGTGGGGTCATCTCCTGCACTGGTGGTCCTGGATTCCATGAGAAAGCAAGCTGAAGAGGCCACGAGGAGCAAGCCAGTAAGCAGCACTCGTTCATGGCCTCTGCATCAGCTCTTGTCTCCAGATTCCAGCCCTGTTTGAATTCCTTCCCTGACTTCCTTCAATGATGAACAGTGACGTGGAAGAGTAAGCCAAATAAACCACTGTTTTTTTCCAGCCAGGCAGTGGTGGCGCACGCCTTTAATCCCAGCCCTTGGGAGGGAGAGGCAGGCGGATCTCTGTGAGTTTGAGCCTGGTCTACAGAGGGAGTAAGGGCTGAACCATCTCTCCAGCTCCCCCTGAAATGACACTTTTTGAGGTAAAAAGAGCACTTCATTAAAGTACACATGCCGCTGCACACATGCTGGCTAGGGTGTTTGTTCTTAATGTGACGGAGGCCCCTTTCTGACTGAGAAGCTGTTACCCGGCAGGCATTGTGCCAAGCTTCCTTCATTGCTTCACTGTTGTCTTTGCAGACTGGGGAGGCATTACTACCATTTTTCAGGAAAGGGAAAAACCATGGTTCAGAAATATTTCTGGTAGTTATTCAAACGCAGGCGTGCCAAACTTCTAACATCATTTGTATTTGACAACTTGGTTGTTCTCGATTTAAGCTGTTTCATTTGTTTTATTTCTCTTAAGATGGGAGTCTTGTGACTTTATTCTGTCTCAGCATTCATTCAAAGAACAGTGCAAACAGGAAATAAAAAAATCGTTGGGGGCTGGAGAGACCGCTTAATGGTTAAGAGTACCTGCTACTCTTCCAAAGGACTGAGGGTTTTTTTTTTTTTTTGGTTTTTCGAGACAGGGTTTCTCTGTGTAGCTTTGCGCCTTTCCTGGAACTCACTTGGTAGCCCAGGCTGGCCTCGAACTCACAGAGATCCGCCTGGCTCTGCCTCCCGAGTGCTGGGATTAAAGGCGTGCGCCACCACCGCCCGGCCAAAGGACTGAGGTTTACACTAGGTGTCCCACAATCGGCTTTTAACTCCAGTTCCTGGTATCTGATGCCTTCTGGCCTCTGAGGGACCTGCATGCACTTGGTGCACATAAATTCTGGCAGGCACACGTACGTACGCACGCACGCAGAGAGATAAACTAAGCAAAATAATAATATATATATAAGTAAAATTATATATATCTTGGAATGCAGGCAGGGTTTAATCGATAACAACAAAGCAATATTGAGGCCTCAGGAGAAGGTATGATGACTGGCCTGCTAAACCGCAAACCCGGGACCTTCCTGTCTCCGGGATTCTTCCGACCCACACCATCACTACTCAGAAGGTGGCGAGGACCCCAGAACCACTGAACCTTTTCTTTTTCAATGCAGAGAGCTACACCGAGGCCCTGCGAGCGGATGGGGCCTGGCCTACACACACCTTACTGCCAGCTTCGACCGCGCGGCAACAGGTCGGCAGGACGCGACACTACCCTCGCCCACGCCCCCCAGCCCCACGGCACTCACCCGCGAGACGGAGGCAGGAGGCGGTCCTTGAACGGAGACGTAGCGCGCCGGCCAATCAGAAGAGCCCGGCTGGACTTCGGGCGAGCCACAGAATTGGGCATCAGGCGCTTGGACCCGCCTCCGGGGCGCGGTTCTCTAACTGGGAACGTCGCGAGATCTTCTGCAAGCGGAACCATTGGCGGAGAGATGGTTACGCCCCCTGCTTCTTCGGGTCCCCGATTGGCTCCTTAGAGGAGAAGGCGGCAAACGACGTCAGGCTCCCTGAATGGTCATTGGTCGGCGCTGCGGGAGCTCGGGCGGGCGGGCGTCAGCGCGCGCGTTCGAACTGGCGCTTGGCGGCGTTGCCATGGGGACGTGGCCTGGCGGACGCCTGGGGCGGGTGGACAGGACGCTCTGGTAGCCCGGCCTTAGGGCTTTCTCCAGAGGGCATTATTTCAGTTTCTCCTGACCTCCGAGGAAACGGACTGAGGAGGAGCCCAGAAGTCCCCGAGGTGAGAAAGGGTAGCGGGTTTAAGCCCTGCGCCTGCGCGGGAGAGGGTGCGCCTGTCCGCGGCTCGGCGCGTGCGGAGACCGGTGTTTGCAGGGCAGCTAGAACTTGGCTTCTGGTTCTTCGACGGTTCACGTACTCTCCCACGTTTCATCTCCCTACCCACGGCTTCTTCAGCAGCTGTCTCGAAAACCACCATTCTTGGGGCTTTTCTGAGTCCCCAAGGTCCTCTTGCCTTTAGAACGCTTCTGTTGGACTTTGGATTGTTTTATTTACTTCCGGAAACCTTCTTTTTTCTCGTATAAGTTTGAACTCTGAGATAAAACAAGCGTTTTCACAATGTCTTACACATAGTAGACTTTTGGGAAATATTTGTTCAGTTGACTCACTACAAATAGATTCTCTTTTCTTTCCTGCCTTGTTCCATTCAAAGATGATTTGGGGGCAGGTGGAGGAAAGAGGACAACCTAATCTCATATACAAAAGAGCCTGAAAATTCGACGTTAGGATTTCCACCTTTTGTGAAAGGTAAAACTGAATTGGTTGCTACAGCTCTCCCACATTGCAGTCTGATCTACCAATACCTTTTTATCAGGCTCCTAAATGTATTTCCTTGAAACAGACCATTGTGTTGTTATATGCCAGAGGATTTTCTCTTTTTATTTCGTGATTACATTTTGGAAAATGTAATCAATTATTTGAGCTTTAATTTTTTCCACTTACATTACGTGTCTGTGTGTGCGTGTGTGTGTGTGTGTGTGTGTGTGTGCGCGCGTATGTGTGTGTGTGTGTGTGTGCGTGCCAAAAGCAGGAAGTGCCTTTATCTGTTGAGCCCTCTTGCCAGTCTTTAAAACATCTTTTTATCTTTGCATTTTTATATATATATATATATATATATATATATATATATATATATATATATATATATATATTTTTTTTTTTTTTTTTTTTTTTTTTTTTTAAAGGGTTTCTCTGTGTAGCTTTGCGCCTTTCCTGGGACTCACTTGGTAGCCCAGGCTGGCCTCGAACTCACAGAGATCCGCCTGGCTCTGCCTCCCGAGTGCTGGGATTAAAGGCGTGCGCCACCACCGCCCGGCATTTGCATTTATATTCTATCGAGAGATTTTTGACTTTTGTGGCCACTCTCTTCAGTATATATTAACAACTCAGCCTGTATACATTCACCAGGTATCCATAATCCTATTACATTTCCAAGATGTTGTTTTTCTAAGATTATTTTATTGTTGACTTGTGGCCTATATATTTACAGTATTATTGCTGATTATTCTTCCTTATATGAAATTCATAGCTCAGAGTTAACTTTAATGAAAGGATCAAAAATATTGCTAGGCAGGGGTGGCACATACCTTTAATCTCGGCACTCGGGAGGAAGAGGCAGTTGGATCTCAAGACCAGCCTGGGCTACAGAGTGAATTCCAGAACAGCCAGGGCTACACAGAAAAACAAAACAAAAAGTATAACAACTGTTGTGGTTTGGATATTGTGATGTATAGTGCTAGTTGTCAACTTGACAAAATCCAGAATCACCTGGGAGATGATGATATCTATGGAGGATTGACTTGATTGTGTTAATTGAAGTGGGAAGACCTGCTCACTGTGGGTGACACCATTCCTAGGCAGCAAATTCTGGACAGTATAAGAATAGAGAAAGCAAGCTGATCACTAATTCATACATTAATTCATTGTTCCCTGCTTTTCTTATTTTAAGTTTTTTTTTCTTCTTTTTCGAGATAAGGTTAGACCTGGCTATCCTGGACCTCTATGTAGACCATCCTGGCCTCAGATATCCAACTGCCTCTTCCTCCTGTATGCTGGGATTAAAGGCATGCACCACTATATGAGGCTTGCTTTTCTTATTTTAAAAATTTATTTTTATATGTATATATGTGTCAGTAAGTGTACTCACACTGGTGTATGGGTCCAGGGAGACCAGAAGAGGGCATCTGATCTCTGGAGCTGGAGATACAGGTGATTGAAGTGGGTTCTGGACAAGCAGCAAGCACTCTACACATCTGAGCTATCTCACCAGCCCTGTTGTGATTTTCTTATCTTCCATTGTAGAAGAAATAGCAGTTTCTATAGGTTGCTGTTTTGTTATTTGTGAGCCACCATGTGGTTGCTGGGAATTGAACTCAGGACCTCTGGAAGAGCAGTCGGTGCTCTTAACCTCTGAGCCATCTCTCCAGCCCTGCTGTTTTGTTATTTGTATAGTGAAGGGTTGAACTTTTCTCATGTCTCTTCTTCATCTAGTGTCTATGATCTGTTAATCCAGTTTCTCCATGGAAACTCAGCAAACTTATTCAAAGTTTGTGTAGAGTAGGTCCTTAACAAGTTTTGTTGAATGAGGCTGGTAGTGTGGTGGTGCACACCTTTAATCCCAGTACCCCTGAGACAGAGGCAGATGAATCTCTGTGTGTTCGAGGCCGGTTTGGTCTATTTAGTGAGTTCAGGCCATCAGGGATACATAGAGGGACCCTGTCTACAACACACACACACACACACACACACACACACACACACACACACACACACACAGAGTTAAATGAGTAATGGAGTCAAGTATAATAACATAGACCTGTAGTCTGAAAGCTGAAGCAGGGGAATTTCCCTAATCCAAGAGTTGAAGTTTGCCTAAATAACATAGTGTGGCTAAGACCTAGTTCTCCAGTGCTGGGGTTAGAGCCCAGGGCCTTGAGCATGCTTGGCAAATGCTTTACTACTGAGCTACATGCCAAACATAAACAGTTTTAGTAGTAGTAGTAGTAGTAATAGCAGCAGCAGCAGTAGTAGTAATATTGGCAGGAACAGTTGTATCAGTGGTGGTTCTTCAAGACGGTTTCTCTGTGTATCCCTGGCTGTCCTAGAACTCACTCTGTAGACCAGGCTAGCCTTGAACTCAGAGATTCTCCTGCCTCTGTCTCCTGAGTGCTAGGACAAAAGGTGTTGTGCCACCACTACCCAGCCAGCTTGGAAATTTATAAAGACTGATTGTAGCCATTATTTTTCCAGGTAAACACATGAGATATGGTTTGTTGACATGGTTTTATGGCTGCAAACTGGCAAAAATCTTTTACATGACAACTTTCTGAGATTGGATTAGACCAGAATTTTAAAAATAAACCACTGAATTTAAACTCAACATTGGTTATTACCTGTCCCTGGGAGCGCATTTAGAATTTGTATTCAGAGACTAATACACCTGTGTTGGCTTAAGATGACTGGGCTCAGCAATTTTGTTATGTTTATTTTTAGGTGATTACCACCAAACTTAAAAACTTAATAAGCCTGTTAAGGGTGGGTCTTGAAGCACATCACAGAGTATTTATAGTTAAATGTAAATGAACTTTTTTTTTCAGTTACAAATAGAAATAATCTCAAAGTATTTTTTTTTTTAAGTAATATGACAGTAATGTGACTCACAGATTAGTGTCCAGAAATCCACGCCTGGCCTTAGGAATTCCATCGAGTCCCATCTGTTCTAGTTCCTCTGCAGCTGTTAATTAAACAGGTGTCCCCGTCCTTTGTCCTCTGTAAAGCTCAGTCATCTATAGATAGGATGACCCCTGGAGTTTAAAGTAACTGGTTCTCCTGAGGGGAAAGTATATACACTGTATTATTTAACTTTTCATTTGCCTCTTGGAATATGGAATTTCTGTGTGTTCTTGGGGATCTAATACCTAACCTGAAGTACAGAAATTTTTTTTATGAAAAGTAATGGAGAATGTTGAGTTTATATTGTATCTGCTTTAATTGTGTGTGTGTGTGTGTGTGTGTGTGTGTGTGTGTGTGTGTGATGTGTGTTGATACATACACACAAGCAGGCAACATTAGAGTCTGAGATTTACATTTTTGAATTTTGATACTCACTGTAGGGTTCCTCACACTTACTGACTTGTCCCCATCTAAAGGCAGATAAACCTAAAAAAACTCTTAGCAGAAATCCATCCTGTCTGTCCCTGGACAGCTTTGAACAGATGACCTTTTCTGAGTCATTAAGTATATATGCATTTGTTTCACAGACTTTTTTTTTTTCTTTTTAGATTGCCATAAGTTTTATTGGTATAAACGCTCAGAAATTTCTTCTTTTTTACTAGCAGCTGTCATTTAAAAACAGGTATGAAAAACAATATAATAATTTCAACTTGTTTCCAAAGTCCTAACAAAGAAAAAGTAAAATTTCCACAATATAGAAAATCTTTGTTTAGTCTTCATATTATATAATTGTGAAATAATGACTCTGGCTAGACCTGGTTGCACATTTGTAAGCCCAGCACTTGGGAGCATAAGAAACATTAAGTATTAGTTTTCCTGTTAAACACTGTAGAGTGTTTTCATTTGTTTGTTTTGTTTTGTTTTGTTTCACAACAAATTCAAATCTTTTGATCTTCCCTACCTTTTCAAACTGTATACAAATGTTTTAAATCCCCTACCAGCAGCAGCTAAGCTTTTGTTTACACAAAGGCCCTGTTACAGTCTTGGAATTTGAATGATTTAAGTGGCCTTCCCCATCCCTTTTTCCTTCATTTCCTTTATGCCAATTCTTTTAAAGCTAACCAATTGAGAAAGACTGTGAGGTCAGGCCCCAGCCAACGAGGAAAAGACACAGTCACTACCTATGTTAGGATAA